CGAAACCAATGATTCGCACGAACGTGAAGGATAAGCTTCCACTGGGGGCCTCATCAATGTGCATCTACCAATTCACCTGCTCATGTGGAGCTAGGTATGTCGGCCGTACCCAGCGTTTGCTATCCAAACGAATCAGCGAACACTTACCTTCATGGTTTTATAAAGGAGAAAGAAGATCCCCCCGCCACAGCTCTATCCTAGAACACTTGATCGAATCCGGACACCAAGCAAACCCACAAAACAACTTCTCAGTTATCTACACAATACGTGGGAATCTTGCCAAAAGAGTACGAATTAAACTTCTTCAAACTGCAGAAGCAATGGCAATTCACATATTGAATCCTGAACTCTGCATACAAAAGAAGTTTGTTCAGTCACTAAATCTACAATGGTCCTGATCTATCTTAACACCAAATACGTAATTTTGTCTTACCTCTTTCTTCTTTGTTTGTCTATTTCTTAATTGCATTATTTTCTACCCCTACCCTCTATTAAATCTCTACGCTCATGACGACTGTTGCTAACTCGATTTTCGTTTATTTTTAAGTGAATTCTACTCAGATTATTAACTTGACTCTCATTCATTTTTTCATTGAACCCTATCAATTAGATTACGTCATCCAACCTACTTTTGTAACTTTATTTTAGTTTCTAACCGATTAACGCCTTCAAAATTACGTAATTTGTTTGTCAAAAACTAACAATTGCATTAACACATCTTTGGAAATATTCCTTTTGTTGCCAAGACAAAGTACTATAAATTTGCGATTTGTACAGCTTGAGAATGATATCGCCGACAAGAGTAACTCTTTGCTGAACACCTTTTCTTATCTGATATAACCAAAGCTTCTTTTCATTTAAAGCCCATTCAATTTTGTGGAAACTTTTCAAAGTATTTAACAGTGGTAAGTGATTTACTGCTGTTCCATCTCTTTATGTTGATACTCTAAATATGTTATTCATACGCTCTTCTGTCGATATCCTTCCTAATGTTACAAATCATATAGACAACAATTTTAATGGTTTGAATACCCTTCATGTGCTTAAATGTCTCCGGTCTCTGAAGCCTTCACAAAGCCTTGGTCCTGGTGGTGTACCTGCGCTTGTCCTCAGGAACTGTGCTGATATTTTATGTTACCCTCTTACTAACACTTTAAACGCTTCTTTTTCCAGTAATGTTCTACCTCTTGCATGGAAAGACATTAAAATTATCCCCATACCAAAACCATCTTCTGGTAATGATATTAAATTTAGGCCTATTGTAATTACTTCTCCTTTTTTGAAATTGACTAGACTGCACATCTGCTTTTGACTCTGTACCTAGTGGCCTCTTATTCAATAAGCTTCCGTTGAACCAAACAGGATCTTGGGCTAAGAGTTGGTTGCATTCTTATTTTTCTGATAGAATGCAGTATACTGTATATAATGGCTGCCTCGTTTACAAGAGCCGGTGTTCCTCAAGGTGCCGTCCTCTCTCGTTTTCTTTTTTCTTTCTTTCTACATGACTTGCCTCAATTAAGCGGAACTAACTTTGTCAAATATGCGGATGATCTGACTATATCACTGCCTACCACTTTCAAGTCTGACTGCTCCAAACTTAATAGATTTCCGTAGAACATCAGCAAGTAGTCTAAGTCGAATGGTCTTATTTTTAATACTTCCAAATGTAAGACAGTTAACTTTACTTTCAAGCATCGACGTGACGTACATGAGCTAGTTAGCTCCCATGATGCTTCTAGCATAGATGGCACTGTAATTGAAACCAAGTCAAGCATTAAATACCTTGAATCAGTTCTTTCCTCTGACCTCTTTCATGGTCATCACACATCTTACCAATCTCTAAGAAAGTGTTTCGTCTTACCTTCCACATTAAAAATTAAAGGCAATCAGGTATCAACCAACCTTTACTTCTGAAGTTTGTAAACTCCTGTGTTTTACCTGTTGTACTCGATTGCTCTCCATTAATCTTTCCTAAGCTTCTCAAAAAATACTGTATCATACTACGAAGAGTATTAAATGCTGTGAGCAGGGCTTGTGGTATGCCACTGTGTGAGCTCGCCAATATTATATTCGAGACACATATAAAATCCTGTACAAAATGGGCAAAGGCCGTACTCTCAGACTGCCTGCACCTCCCTTATTCACAGCTATCCCCTTGCATCTCGTCAGGTAGGACGAGAAGTCAATATAAGAAGTTATATGCTCACACCACTGTATACAGAAATTCTACAATACCCTATTTAGCCTGTACTTTATATGATAAAGACACTGTTAGGCGTGAAAGAAATAAGTTACTATGTAGTTGGCAAAGTGAATCGACCATTTCATCGTTCATCTTTCTGTAATTTGATGATGTCACCCTTTCTATCGTTTAATTACAACTTAGCGATTTTATTTTAGTTGTTATTACTATTATGACTACAATTTTATACTTTATACATATTTTTATCCTTATCGCATATTGTAATTGCTATATAGCTGGTATAACAAAGTTTTGTTATTATTACTATGTAATGTTTATTTTTTGTCGTTTTGAGTAAATCAGTTGCAATATTGTACTGAATACTGAAAATTCCTTACTGTATCATTAGTACTGTTATTGGAATAAAGCAAAAATTATTATTATTATTATTATTGTTCCTGGACAGACTCTGTCTATCAATAATGCTAACCAAATATCTCATTAAATTATAACTCTTCTCTCTATCCTTCCTATTTCTTTTCCACCTAATTAATATCACACCTTTTACAATTATTTTATTTGTCATTCTTCGTACTTTAACTAAACATCTCGTCTTTCTTATTGGCTAAATAACTTCGCCCCTTGGATAGTGAAATTTAAACCAACTGATATACATATATGTCCTTTTCAAGTCAATTTTTGTCAACCGTTGATTAATCTTACTGCATCCTCATTAACATTTATCATATTGAATTCCGTATAAATTTATGTATGTAGGGAAGGAAAATTGACACGTTAGATGATAGTTGTAAAAGCTGTCAGGTGACAGTGGTCAGCATAAAGTAGGAGACAATAAAGGGGATATAATGAAACCACGGTGAATAGTTTACGTTGTTGAGATAACTAATATTAAGTGTTGGTTAATAAGAATTCGATTGGTTACAATTCTGATCAGGAGTTGACATCTGTCAGAGAACCATTGGAAAACTAATATGTGAAATGAAACAGATGAAGGCTTATGCAGGGAAAAGAGGTAATATCACCAATAAGAGGTCCGAATAGGATAAATGGAAAATTTGATAGTAATGAAGAAAATAGTAGTAATATTATTACAGTAAATTATAATGAACAAATTAAAAGAAAAACCGATAAGATGAACAGATACCTTTAGAGGAGAAAAAGAATTTTAATGTAAGTTTGGTCATGGTAGGAAAACTCGTCCGGACGTCTTCTTTTTAAATAAAAAGTTCCAGTTTAGCCGATCTCATTGCAACAGCTTCAGCTGTATGTTGAAGGTATAGCTGAACTGTATGTGATAATGAATTCGTGATTTTGTGGCGCATATCCCTGAAGGCTATGTTAGCTTCAATGAGATGTCTTGTATTCAATAATTTTGATAGAATCTACCTAAGCCGATGAATGTTCGCAAATCTTTAATCTTACTATCTCCTCTTTGGTGTGTACTATATTGTAGTAACCACTCACCTGACACCTTTTACAACCCTGAACTGACTTGTCAACTTTCTTTCCCCACACTGATACACCTATTGTGACTGAATGCTGAAAATTCCTTACTATATCATTAGTACTGTTTTGGGAATAAAGCAAAAATTAATTATTATTCTACTTGATTCTTATAGCTGAAAGTTAGTTAGTTAATCTTGTTCTACAGTGCGTGTTTTGTACTGGAGAAATCACATAACCTTATAGTCTGCATAACGGCGCTGTTGAGGTAGTTTTCAGTTTTTGATGCTATTTTTGTGAAACAATACTTAAGATGTTATTGCAAATAACAGTGGTTTTGCTGTAGTCGGGCCATTATGTGGTCAGTAGTGTAATAGAACGCAGTGAATGGTTTCCGGCGTTGAGACCATAACAGGTCGGTGTCAATCACTACCATATGCGATTCAATATACGCAGTAGGCATTGGAGTTATCCAACAGAATCACAAGAAATCCTTTATCTCTTATTCCCACTGTCAGTAAGCATTTCAAAAAAGCAGTTGATATTAACACTATGCAAAGATTCGTTTCATAAAAACTGGAAAAATAAGACAACCCGTTTCAAAGTGATTTTGGTAATATAAGATGCTGCTCAATACAGTTTACAAAGTTTTATTTTTACACATGTATTTCATGAAGAAAAGTAACATATGAAGTAGAAATTTAATAATGGGTCCTGCTGAAACCAAAACAGATAAGCGGAAAGAACAGCATTATAGATTTAGGTAAGGACAGAATTTGGGCAATTTGTGTTTTACTCCTTTACGTTCCCAGTGGTGGCTATTTTCATGGGATCGTATTGCTAGCCTCATGCCCAACCTTCCCTCTTTACCAGCCTTATTACCGGCTTGGTGAGGTAAAGGTGTGCACCGGCCAGAGATCGATTCCCGGTTGGAATGCGTGGTTGGCGAGCATTCTAACTCTGTGCCACGGATGCATTATGGGGGAGTATAATTTCACTATGGACAATATTTTGATAAACTTTCACAGCGTTATTCACTGATAACGTTTCGAACATAATTTGTTTCCGATATCCGTGTCAGGGTACTAACACAATTTGCTGACTTCGTTTATATACATCAGCAATAAATTTTGCTTAAAACATCAACAGTAAACATTAATGTATAAATAACACTATGAGACTTTATCTACATTGTATCCATAATGGACAGAATTAGATGTGTCGTGAATTTGACATAGGTCAATTAAAAAAGGGAAGATTTGGCGTAATTTTATTCAAATTTAAAACAAATAATACTTCACTAATCATATTTTAATGCCTTACCGTTTCACATAACTTATCACCTCATAAGAACTTAATATTTCCCTATAAGCAAAATAACATGAAGATATTTAAACAAAAATTAGTTTTTCCTTATAAAGAAATATTCATTCAAACTATCACTATCACTATTGTAAATCAATTAATATAATAAAACATAAAGTGAAGTGTAATTAAAATGCTTTAATTCCATTCACTCGGTAAAACAGTATTATTTACTGGATGACCTATCGAACAGAATTTATTGTTGATAATTAGATTGACAATTATAATCACACAAATTTGAAACTCGAGCCTTGTAGTTTTCTTTGTCCTCTCCTATTTGTCGTAAAGACAGTAAAATTTTCTAGACGTCTAGGACAGGTTTTGAATAATTCCTATTACACGTGCTTGCAGTTTATTCGATAAATAAATCTTCTGTTATCAATATTTCTATCCACCGTATTGTGTTGAATCTTGAAACTGTCACCTTATCCCATCTTATTGTATGGTTGTGTGCAGTTGCATGTAGGGCTACGTAGATGTACTATTCTCCAGATTTCTTATCTTATTAGGGTTAACTGATCTAGGTTTTGCTGTTCCGCTGGTGTAACTGACCCCGTTCTACTAATTCGACTTATGTATTTGACCTGATAATCAGTACACGGCATTAGATAAACTAAACTGTTTTGTGTAAATGGCTCCACAGGATACTTTAACCGACAAATTTTTTTTCTAATTGAGTTCGCGGGTGACTGAATGTCACTTTTATTCTTGGATTTTTAAGAGTTATCCATAAGGCTTCAGAGGTCCTTTCTCTGTATGAAATTACTACTGATGATATACTATGATGATTGCTGGTTTTGTCATTATTCTGTGCATGCTTGACATGCATGTTGTCATTAACCCTAATAATATTACTATTCAGGATTTCACCATGAACTGGCATCGGTTAGGAGACCAGGTCTTGCACTTGTCCTCTAACCCTTGTCAGTTCATTTGAAAGCCTGAAACCAGTCAAATCCCTGCAGATCAACGACTGAATATTAATTATTATCACTATCACTATTCATTTTATTTTTACATTTCCCTGCATACTTGCTGATTAATTCATCAGGCTGATTATTAGGTCTCAAAGTTGCTCTTATATACCTCACTTCCTGTCTTAGATTTCCCTTCCTACAACTTATTTTTTGTGTTCTATTACTATTAATCTTACTTTAACTGACATAGGGTGGGATGGTCGGAAATCTTAAGTCAACTAATTATAATTGATATGATTATGAACAATAAATTGCTTTTGAAACCTGGTCATCCAGTAAATAATACTGTTTCACTGTGTAATATATCTAGTAAACAAATTAATACGGAATTACATACTACCACAGTGTCCAAGTTTAACATACATATTAGAATGCTTTAAACCTTTTCAGTGAGTAAAATTCAATTTTCATCCTACTTGTAAATCAAAAGTTAAATCCTGTCACAGGAAAGGCAACATTTTCCGGTTGCTTACGCATTACAACACACACTTTCCAAAAGACGACTATTAACATGAAGTCAAAAGCTGAATAAGAAAAATATATTTAACAGTATATTGGTAAGAAGTCATTCCGTTTTTGAAAGCGTGCAACTTTAAAAGCGAAATGTACCTGTCAGTCGGCTTTATGATTGCATTTTTTCAAATGTATTACAAAAAAAATGCGTACTTTTTCTCGCATAAACATCTGCTTATAATTAGGTTATCCCAAGGAATGAAAGGGATTAAATATTTTTATTTATTTTGAGTAAAATCAGTGCATTTTAAGTTGCTCGCAGTGTGTGTACATTTGACAAAGAACATTCAGACAGATGTCAGTCATATATGGCGAAAACAATCAACTACAGAGAGCTACGCCAGATATATATCATCACAACAGTCAATTCGCTCGACTAGTACTCTGTTCCCATAGGGCGATTCATTGATCTCATGCATTTGAGCACTGAAGAAATTTTCATTATTAATCCTCAAGTATAGTCCTTCAACTTTTTGATAGTGTGAATGAAAATAAAAGATAAATGAGGACAAGAGCGTGATTAAAGATGCTAAGTGAAACTACTATGAACAAGGGCAGTTTAGAGTATTCTAGACCTATAAAATTAGCAGTAATTTTTGAAGTATTATACAACAAAACACAAATTTATTTAAGTAGAAGTCAGTTTCTGCCCGCACAAATAATGATGAAGTTTAGCAGTACACCAAACACACTGAATATGAGATTTGCGACTAACGTTATCACAAAACGCCATCATACGCTTCAGAACAGACGAAAGTAATCATTTACTTCCACGATAGATTGATCAAATGATTTGATTCACTGCAGCACGTACTTTTGAATTTGTTATGTAGACCCGATAAGAAACGATGGAAAGATCCCGTCCAAGTATCCCTGCATAACGAAATGTAAATATAGCCACTGGGAAGCTAATTTGATAGCAGGATATATTTCAGTCCTAATATAACCACCACATGCATAAAACGGTTAATAGGCCTATACGAGCTAAATACAATAATCGTAATTTCAAAAGATTCTATTCCCTAAAGTAATAAGGTGAACTATAAATTGACTGGTTTACATAAGTTAGTTAGCCAAGTCATGTGTGGAATTCGATTACGTTACTTCACTTGCAGAAGATGAATAAGACAAATCTTTGAAATCCGCCTCAAACGAATATTTTTGACTTACTTAGACAATCTTTTTCTATAATACATAAGAGTATGCAGTAGGGAGAAATGCAAAAATGTTATGCAAGTATGATTAAACATGCAAAATTGCCCAAACTCAGTTCACCCATACGAAAGGTGTTTATGATGCACACCAAAAATACTTGTGTGCAAAAATTTCCATTATTGTGCACCTAGGAATCCTAGGACCACTTGGACCTAGGTAATGTGTTCTTTGGCGCTCGTCAGCCGGGCGTAACTACAATCTTGAATGAACTGATATGTCTCATGAGATTCAAACTCGGTTTATCCAGCGCTAATTTAGGAGATGTTACGACTGAACTATTCTAGCACGTGGTTGATATACTGTAGGGCTGTAATGGGAAGTTTGATTAGGCCCTAAGTAGTAATTAATATGTGGCGTCTAGGTCATCGTTTGATACAAACTGACTTCTGTCAATCAAGTTAGAAATGTAGCCTTCATACTAAGTCTGAAGCTTCCTGATACTGGCCTCCAATTATTTAACAATAATTCAGAGTGCATCATGGATGCCAGTCACTCAGTATGGTGACCAAACTGCAAACTTGACTGGTAGGATTCAGCCTGCATCAAACGACGCACTTGCCATATTACATTAGTTGCTTAGAAACGAGTGTATATCCTGACTCCCATATCAATTTCGAACAATATGTGAAGATTGAATTTGAATCCACGTAACCCTACATACTTCAGGACTGAAAAAAGCGGTGAAGTAGTGAACTAGCATACACAGGGATTTCACATCAGCTCGATGAATTGTACTGCATATAGCAATTTGAATGAATGAAAAAAATTGCATGCAGAAATTCAATAGTTAAATAGACAGTTTACATAATGTAGGAATCTGTTCACAAGATTAAGTTAAATAATAAATGATATAATACTCACCATATTCTTTTATTTTAAAAATATCAAAATATTAGTTTGATTTTCACATTGATAGGTTGTTTTGTGTAGTATCTTTATAAGACCTGTAGGAATTAATGGGTATATTTTGCGATTGGTATAAATTTATCATGGGGTCATTAAAGCAGTAACCGTGCATGTACTCATAACTTCAATATATTCGGAGTTTTCTGCTTACACTTATTACGTTTCTCCGAGAAACTTCATGGAGCGGTTTTCATTGTTGATTGGAATTTTTCATTTTGCAATAAAATTTATTCAGTGAATTCATTCAACTAAACATCCTATGAAACAGTTGACTAGTATTGCATAACTGGCATTATAGTTGAACTGTCTCTGCATGCAGAAGTTGGCATACTGATTATCATAAAATTATAAGTGTGATGAACGATTCGACTGGTATTTTTTTTAATGCTAATGGCACAGTACAACGATAGCATATATTCTCCCAATCAACAACCTTCATGGATGTATTTCTATACAACTATGCGAAAGAATTTTGATTGGTTACAGGATTTCATCATGAGCTGACATTGGTTAGAGAACCATTGGAAAACTTAGCAGTACTGGACAGATGTTTCGTCCTAGTTTGGGACTCTTCATCAGTACGCACACACCGGAGTTCGAACCCAGCACCTTCTCGTTACAAGGCGAGCTTATAGACCATTAAGCCACTGGAACCCAATCCGATGGCCCATGAATTCCATTTTCTGCCAATTCACGATATAGCGCAACCACTAGACAATGTCTTCGACGAGTATTTTGTCCTCACACAGAATGCAATATATCTATTTGAACATTCTATTTGATGTTAAAGACAGACTACTTTCCCGCAGTTCAACACTCCATTGGCAACAGAATACTACGTATATTTGAACATTATATTTTTTGCCTTTTTATGTAAACCAAAATCACACGCTTGGGAATTAGTTAACGAATATAAACTGTAGATATAAAAACAGCGGTTTGATTAATGGAAACAATACTTTGGCTTCCATGTCTTGCCTTCTGTTGTTACAATTTTACAACAACACTAATGGTTTCATTGTGTCACTTAAATTATTTCGAGATTCGCTTAAGTTAAAACACAAAGTCATTATTGATGTTATGTAAACTTTTATAAATTATTATATTTCATCTTAGACATCAATGCATTCGATAGTGGCAAAGAAATCCATGATAAATTCGCAGTATTCAAATCAATGTTATAACGTTTTTTTTTTCAATTGAAAAAAAGACTCACCTCTGTCTGCATTGAAATGATAATTCACAATTCATTATGATTAGTAAATCCTTTTGTGGTGAGAGCAGGCTGCTAGCCGATTGGTTGGCACTAATCTACGTTAAGGTCTAGGTCACTAATATGGGCCGTGAGAAAATATGAACAAGGCTGAGTCAACAACCAATCACAGCAAAGTTAACGTGGCAAAATATGATTCGCAGATAGAGAACTCTATTTGTCAAGGAATCCCGAAACAACCAATCAGAAGCCTGCGTTTGTCTACCTAACTTCTGATAAACAACCAATCAGATGACTGCGCTTGTCTATAATAATGTAGTTGAAATATGTATAAATACGTGTTGATTTTCATAATAAAACGATCTGTTGCTTCGCCCTTGTCTTCTGTTGTTACACTTTGTCTGTAAGTTCATCGACCTTAATTCTTCAGAGCTATTTGGTAAGTGAGTAAATAGACATGCTTTAATGAAGTAATAGTTATGTACAACTCTCAACTTCTTTAGCTAGCACAACATCATTCATCGTCACTGTTCTTGAGACTTTCTATTCCATGGTTTTAAAAATGATGACTTGAATGCCGATATGTATATACGTGTGAAAGAACTAACTGTTAGACACCTCCTACAACTCATGCTTCTAAAAGCAGGACGGAAGTGTGTTTACCAAAAAACGCTCGTTTTGATCATAAGCTAGATTAAATTTCTCCTGTTGATGGTGATTAATACCTTTCTTGTTGATGGTTAGGAATCTTCATCACCTCTTTCCTATCTGTGTTCCCTATAGAGGTCCTGTACTACTCACACACTGCTTTTATAACATCTTGTTGGCATTTACTAGTAGATTTTTGAGTTCGTCTGGGCGTTAGACATCTGTGAATTCCGGGTCTTCTACAATACTGTTGTCGGTTCAGTGTATTCCAGTTTTTTCCCTCAACACAGTCTGCAACAAGTCCAAGTCCAGTAAAATCAGAAACACCATAGGTGATAGAGGAGAGCTCTGTCTTACTCTTGCCTTCACTCTGAAAGTTTCACCGATCTTTCATATTGACAGGCGACCACTACTGAATTTTAGATAAATTTATTGTTTTTGGTACTGGGAATATTGTAATGTCGTTAATTCTAAGATAGTAAAATAAAATTTCTGTCACTATTTGTTGAAATGCAAAATAGTAAATATTTATTAAAATATCCTAAGGACATTAAGCATAGTAAGATGACCTAGAAAGATTTTCAAGAACCCATAAATCACTTACAGGCTATTGCTTAATTTGTAAAATAGCAGGGATAATATTTCGTAAGCTTAGGAAACATGCAAAATAGTAGATATTTCCCATATTTATTATGCCTGTAATGATTGAAAACTATGTCCAACGAAATTTTAACTGTCTAAATACCTTCATAATAAATAACAACACGGTTCGGAGAAGTGAGAATATTATTTTTGAAGACTTTATCCCCAAGTTATTGTTCATGGTTTACCAATTTCTATCAGAAGCAGTAAATACTCGGTCAGTTTCATTTTTCATCTATTAAAGTGACAAAACTGTTTACAAATTCAGGAATTGATTAGACACAGTTCCACACAGTCACTTCTTTTAGTATAATTTATGCATTGCTAATGTTAAAATACTTAAGAAATTGAGTAAATCAGTAGAAACTGTGTCCTGTATAACTTATTTTATTTCACATTTAAACACAAATCTCTCCAGTGCAGGTATTTTGTAGAATTTAATCTTATTTGACATTTCAGCTTACTAAGGAAGCAAAGTCTCCTGTGGTATTGTTCTCCTTCATGCACCTTATTTGAAAATTTGATTACACTCAACGGTCTCTTCAAAATGCCTTACTTTGAGTTTACATATGAAGATAACAAAACTGAGTAAACATGTATGTATGCTGTTTTTCAATACTCCTCAAATATTTTATACTCATATATTCAAAGTTTTCACATAGGATAGATGTATCGCTCATGTGGCATTTTCATAATATTCCAGTAAGCACAAGTAGTGAGTTTATCCTTTTATGTCTTCATGGAGGAGTTCAGTACTGAGTAGTACTAGCGTAAGTTGAATACCTTTTAACAAAGATACTCTTTGGTTGGTTACAGGGTGTTATCGTCAGCTGACATCGTTAGAAAACCTAAGGAAAACCTGGAAGACCTGGACAGCTGCTTCGCCCCGGCTTGGGGCCTTCAGCAGTACTCACCATTAAGTCACCAGGACCCGATCCAATGGTCCATGAACTCTAACTTCTGCCTATACCCCGTGGCTACTAACTTTTTACATTGATGCACTGTATTAGTGTAACGATAAGACTGCTTAGAAATTTATTACTCGACGATCCAATGACAGTATTTGTACTTATTTGGATATTTCAACTTAATTGGTAGTTGTTATCTAATTTTATCGTCGACTGTATGTCATTATTCTGACATTCACATAGTACATGTTTATTTGATCTTTATTATTTGTCTTTGTCACTGTTTAACCTGTAATTTTACCGCTTTTCATTGTGGCACTGATAATTTGTTGCATGATATGATTTTGTCCATGGTAATCAGCGTCTTTCTGACCTCAAACTGTCTGTGCGAAGCTCTGGTACATGATTCCTGTAGACAGAATTTTTGACCGCACCTTATTGGTAATGTTGTACTTTAATGTAAGTACATGTTTTGTGCTTAGATTGGACTGTATAGCTGCTTAACAGCACTGTCGAGGTAATATTAATTTTTATTGTCATTACTGTCGAATAGAAACACAAAGACCTATCTCTTTGGAGTGTTTTGTGACTGCGCATATTTCAGGGAAGTGTTTTTCAACTATACAGTAGGACGCAGCGATGAGTTTCCTTCGTTCAAACAGCAACGAGTTCATTTTGGTTGTCACAGGTATTGACTTTTACAAATACACAGCACAAATAATTCTATTGAATGTGGAATTTAGACTTCTGTCTATCTAGTGTTACAATTACAATTTAGTACTATTCAGTTATTACCAGTTACTGTTACAAATATGTTTTACTCAGGCTCAAGGTGAAATTAACTTTCCACGTCTGAGCTTTTCAAATAAAATCGATTAAGCCAATCTGATGATCACTTTGGGAGTATAAGAGTCAAGCAACCCAACTTTATGCCCTTTTAATGCCGACATAGTGTAAAGTAATAATATAGTGAACCAGATTCTTTCCTACATCGTCTTATCTATATCATTCCTATGTTTGATTTTCAATTCATCACATGAATACACCGTCGGTAAAACGGATTTGCAACTTTTAATTCTCTAATACTGAAAATTGTCAAGCAACTAACTAATCATCTACAAACAGTAACTGCCTTATCTTTAAGTGACGAGGCTCTGTGCGTCTGGACTGCAAGTCTTCTAAACCATTGTCTACAATACAAAAAAATGAACTTTCAACTACCTTTGAAGTTAATTGGAGGATGGTGACTAGAACTGAAACTTAGGATTCACATTTCGTCCTTTTTGGGACTCGTCATCTGGATGTACGTGCATTCCGCAGTGAGTGATGATGTTCCCACTGGGGCTAGAAACCCACTACCCACTACTTCAAACGCCAAAGCCTTCGTTATCAACTAGACCACTTGGGCCACAACAGCCACCTCTTGTGCAGAAAATTCAGCAAACACTCATCATCAGTTGTCTCATTTTCTAAACATTTTGTATTCTAAGAAGCGAGCATATTATGGATATAGGGATAAAACGTTGGCACTGTGGTTGAGTACAATTCCA